CCCTGCCACAAAGGCCATGTGCTTTCTGCTCGCACTACCTTGAAAGACCACAGAGATGCAACGTCTGTTCGCCCGGAATGGAAGGACTGCACAAAAGAAGGCCTTCGAACCAACCTCAGGACTACAGAAAGGAAGGGCCAAAACCCCATCGCAGAGTCCCTTTCAAGCCCTTTTCAAACCCTCCGCCCAGCCTCCAAGCCTGTTCCCAGGCCCGAAGCCTTCCCATCCTCTTCCTTATTTTCGCCCTCAGTTGAAGAAGCTCAGAAACGAAAGCACAACTTTCGCTCAAAACCCGGGACCCAAACCCTACACACCTTGTATAAACCCGAAGCCCTCCTTCCCGAAGGGCGGGGAACCCCTCTTGCTACTTTGCGGCCTCCGGCGTCTCGGCCCTGGCGTTTTTCCCCCTCTGGAAGGCAGGGCTTCCCTAGCGGGGGGTTTAGGGGGTTTAGGGATTTAGGTTGGGATGTTCCCCCTTTTTTTAGCAGTCCCATAGTCCCTATGGTTTCAGGGTTCTAGGCTCCTAGGGCAAAGTTTTGAGGTTGCGGATTTTCGGGTAGGTAGGGTTGGGAGATTAGTTTGTTTTTTCTTAGGGGCGGAGGGTCCCTCCGACCACCGTGCCGACCGCCACCGCTCGAAACATACACCCAGCCGCCCCCCCCCAGAATAGAGTCCACCACCCAAATCGCTGAGACCGTTGCAAACAATCCCCCAAAGCGTTGGACACTGCCTGAAGTTGACACTTGCCCTACTTGAAAACATGTGTTTTTCCTGACCCATTCCCACGACGCCTGAACTCCCAACCACACCCCACATGAAATGGGGGTGCTTTGAATTTCGAATTCGGACCGTTGTGGAGGTTCTTGTGGATTCTTTGTTGCGGTCACCTAAATGGCACGCTAGTTCTGAACAACACTCACTCTCGTGCTTGACTCTCAAGTTTTTAGCTCTTCACCCTCCCCCCGTTCCCTCGCCCTCCCCACGCAAGGCCAGGCCCAACCTTTTTTTCTTGTAGGAGATGTTTCGTGTCGATGTGTGCGGTTTGGAGGGGTTCTAAGGGTTTGTGGGTTACAGGCCTCGCAGGCTTCGAGGGTTTAGACGACTGTGCTTCAAGGCTGTAAGGTTTCAAGATTCCTGGCTTGCACGCAGGCGGCTGCGATCGGCCAATCCGGGTACCAGGTGGGGTAATACAGGAATATGTTACCACCCGGCCCAGAGTGCACATTCTACTTGAATGTACCCTAATATTGGAGAAGGTTTCGGAGTTTAGGAGCCCTAAGCCCCAGACACTAAACACTGAACCCCAAGGCCAGATGTCGACCCTAAACCCTCACCCTTCGGTTGCTGGAAGGAACGAACCTCGCAATTGTAGGCTCTAGGAGGGTTGGTCTAGGGTAATCTTTGGGGCTTGCAAGTCTTGTCGGCTAGGAGTTTTCGGACTTCCGGCCGTTTCTTCTGAAAGGCCCTTTGAATGGAGAATAATGGAGCTTAGCTGGCGCTGGCAAAACCGCTGAAACCAAAGCACAGGTTTGCGACCCTAAACCCTAAACCCTAAACCCTAAATCCTAAACCCTAAACCCTAAACCCTAAACCCTAAACCGCCCGAAATACGAATCCCTAAGCCCGTCGAATTTCCGGAAACCAGGCCACACCTGTGGCCTGCCTCCTTCGGAGTTACGTTTATGTCTTGTTTGGATTCCTTAAAAGACATGGACTTAACATATCATAAGCTTTGGGTTTAGGGTTTAGGGTGTAGGGTGTAGGGTTGGGTTCGGCCGGTCCACACTAACAGTCAAATAACGCCGTGGCCTTATAACACACAGGTCAAAAATAGCACCAGGAATCCCAGTCAATTTTAGGATTTTACCGGGTGCTTCTTTTTGTGGGTCTGCTGGTGGTGACTGTTAGTCACATAGCAGCAGAAATAGCACCAGAAATAGCACAAAAAAATAGCACCAGAAATAGCGCCAGGAATAGCACAAAAATAGCACCAGAAATAGCACAAACAATAGCACCAGAAATAGCACCAGGAATCCCAGTCAATTTTAGCAGCTTAGCATTTACCGGGTGCTGTTTTTTGTGAGTCTGCTGATGGTGATTGTTAGTCACATAGCACCAGCAACAGCACCAGAAATAGCACCAGAAATAGCACAAACAATAGCACACAAAATAGCACCAGAAATAGCACAAACAATAGCACAAAAAATAGCACCAGAAATAGCACCAGGAATAGCACAAAAAAATGCACCAGAAATAGCACCAGAAATAGCACCAGGAATAGCACCAGGAATAGCAGGAATCTCAGTCATTTTTTTGGCATTTACCGGGTGCTTTTATTTGTGGGTCTGCTGGTGGTGACTGTTAGTGTGGACCGGCCGAACCCAAGTGTAGGGTTTAGGGTTTAGGGTTTAGGGTTTAGGGTTTAGGGTTTAGGGTTTAGGGTTTAGGGTTTAGGGTTTAGGGTTTAGGGTTTAGGGTAGAGGGGCTTCAAAGGGCTCCAAGGGCCCCTAAATCCCAAAGGGCCCCTACACCCCTCAGGCACCGAGCCGCCCCGAAATCCGACAACCCTACAACCCCAAAACCCTGACCCCCAAAACCCTAAAACATCCTAACTTCCGAAAACCCTACAGCCCTAGAACCCCCTAAAGCCCTAAAACCCGAAAGCCCTAAACAAGCCCTTTGGAAGGTGGCCGGACAGGGCTACTGGCAGAAGTACTTCGAGGCCATGAAGCCCCCTTGGAGAGGCCGGGTGTGGGGTGCTGTTTGAGGTTTTGGGCTTTTAGGGGGCTTTTAGGAGTGTAGGGGTTGTTTGGGGGGTTTCAGGGGGTTGGGGGGGTTTCGGGCGTTTAAGGGTTTAGGGGTGCTCACCACTCATGCCCTAAACCCCTCTAAGCTCCGACCTGAGAACCCAAAACCTGGCAAGGTCGGGGCACTCAGAAAAGGAGGGGGAGGGGAGGGATTGCTTTGGGTCGTCCTAGATAAAGCCGCCCGCTTGCTCGCCTTCAGGTTCGATCGTGGTCATTGGCAGCTCGGCAGCACTACAAGTCTTCAGAGTGTGCAAATGCCCTCGCCTGCCTACGACTGCATCAGCCCACGGTTGGAGTTGTGAAGTAGCGGCATTTCATGTCTCGCAGCTTCAGGCCTGGATTTGTGATTTGCCCGAACCAGAACTCCAAAACCCCAAGGCCTGAACCCTAAGCCCTCATTCTTCACGTGCTCTTGGGGGCTTCAGAGGATCCCATGTAGGAAGATGTTTCAGAGGGTTTGCAGGGCCTACCTGAAAAAGAAGAGAGCAGGCGGCATGACATGGGCTCGCGCTGCCATCTTCTACGGCTCGGACACAGGCGAGAGACCCCCAAGACGAGCCCCTTAGACTTCAACCCTGAAGACCCCCAAAAAAACCCTCAAAGGCCTCAACCCCCAATTCCCGGAAACACCCTTAAAAGCCGAGCAGCACCCAAAACGCCCAACACAGAATTCAAAGGCCTGGGGAGATAAAAAGGGGCGCACCGGGCAGCTGCTTGCGAGGAGAAGAAGGGGATTGAGGGTTTAGGCTTGAGAAGATTAACGTCTGGAGTTAGAAGTTCGGGCAGGGCTTTCACCCCCTGAAAGGGTTGTAGCCGTTGTAGCGTTTACGATCTTTACTCTTCAGGCATAACCCCTCCCCGACCTCGAGCCCTCGCACGCCAGGCTCCAAGTGGATGCGACAGCAGGCTGCCATATGCGGTTTCAGGGCTTCGGGCTGAGGCCTAAAGCAAAAACCCGAATTAGCTTCCCTCTTCCTTGTACAAACTAAGCCCCGAAAACCCGCAGGATCTAAACTTCATGCGCGTTGCTGTGTGGATTGTGGTTTCTGCAAGATGCGGGCTCTCAACAAAATCAGAGGTCACGGTAGAGCGTCACCGAAAAGCGAGGTGTTGCCCAGCACACCAAAGCTGCAGTCCAAAAAAGGGCTCATGGCGCCCAATCAAGCCATACGCACCCTCAGCCCGGCGGTGTGTGCTGCTTTGCGGTGGCCAGCGGCCACCGCTGCGTAAATCAAGATCTGCCACTTTACCAAGCCGCGCGGGCGCATGACACGTAGTGAGGGGTCAGGGGCACTGCAAACTGCATACACCAAGCTCCGCACCCCAAGCCCTAAACCCCAAACCCAGTACCCCTAAATCAGCCGAAGGCCTTCCACACCCCCTAAACCAGCCTGGCGTGCAGGGATTCAGCACGGGCTTGGCAGCCACCCTGCCGTCGCTTTGCGTCTCTGCCTTCGCCCAGGCCTTGAGGGTTTGCTGGCTCGGGGGCTATTTGCAGTTTTAGGAGGGTTTTGTTTACATATATATATATATATATGTATGTATATATGCTGTTGTATATGTGTTTTCATTAGTCTAAGATAATTGAATATTCTCATCACGTAATAATGCAATAGTATAATATGATAATATAGACATAATATGTCTATATCATATGTATATAAAAAAGTAGACTAGCATAACACTAGCAATACAGTATAATATAGTAAAATATTGTAATGTTAATATAACATATGAGTATAGTATTGTAATGGTACAAGGATACCGTCATATGTACAATAACCGCAAGCAAAATAAAGACAATATACTGAAGACATACAATAATATACTATTATTTTTTAAACACAAATGGCAGTCTAAGAATGCAAGAATCTAAGAATCTACGGATATAAGAATATATGCATACAATAATACAAGAATATAAGGATATACGAATACTCTAGTATAGCAATACACGAAACATGATCACACGAATATAAGAAGACAAGATCAGATAAGGTAGTAAATCGTAGTACGTATACGATAGTATAAGAGTACAATAACGAGAATTATTGGAGCTGTAAGAATATAAGAGTATACGAATCCAAGGTTCGAAGAATAACACTAATGTAAGAATATTAGAATGTGAGAATATGAGAATCCAAAATCTCAAAAAAAGCATATAAGAATCTAAGAATTCCAGTAGGCAAGAATATGAAGGCACTTCCAGACATGTTTTTGGCTCGGGATCCAGGGTAGAAGTTGGCAGTCCCACGTAGGTAGGCAATTTTTGTAGAGTCGTGCCACGGCAGGCGGTGAACCAGCCTTTTGTGCGGTCATCGATCATGCTCCAGAATCCGGGTGAGGCCAACAAGGGTCAAGCAGTCACGATCTTGCCGCTGCATTGGTGAGGGGGGGTGGGAAGGGAAGGGGCGGGGGTGGGTTACTTCATTTGTTCCCTTGCCCCCCTCCCCCCCACCCCCCCTCCCTCTGGCTCGGGCACTTGCCAGGAACTTGCAAAGAAGACCTTTCCCAACATGGCGATGCTGAGGCGCTGAGCTTCCTGCAGCTGAAAAACCCGGAGAGGTTTGTGGGACTTCGAAATCACTGCAGAGAGCCTTGGAAGCCCAAACCACTCTCTTTACATTCTCGCGAGAATTGCTGGCCCCTTTTCACTACTGGCTCTCGGAAGCTACCCAAAGGCCACGAGGAACCTCCAACCCGACACACCCTCCAGTTAAACCCGAACCCTTGTGGGAGAAGCCATCTCCGGACAGTCGCCAACATTTTCCAACGAGTTTGTGAGGCACCTGGCCGCCACCAAGGGCATCTCAAGCTGGTTCACAGGTGGCTCGAATTCACGCTTGTTTGGGTTTACGGCTTCGGCGTCTAGTTGCTTTTTGTATGCTTCTTCTTGGTCTAGAGTTTGAACCCACCGCAGGCCGTTTTCTATGTTACCATGCTTTTGCATGGGCTTAGGAGGATCGACCTTGGGAGTGTTTTTTGTCAGAGGCTTTAAAGGGCCAACCCTGATCCCTAGACCCGAAGCCCTGAAGCTCTTTTCCTTTGTCCAAGCTCGTTCTTAGTACATCCCTTAACCCTGCTCGTACAATTTAACCCCCTTTCCTTTCTCCTTTTCCCCTTCCCAAAGCCGCGAAGCCGAAGCCCCAACACTGCTTCATACGAGGCGCTCGTGGGGTTTACGTCTTGACGGTCTGAGTCCTTTTGTAGCTCGCGCAGTGTATGTTTCTCTTTTCGGGCCCGCTCAGGATATCAAGACAAAACCATATGCCTCACTTCCTAAACTTCCTAAACTTCCCAAACTTCCTCAACTTCCTCAACTTCCTCAACTTCCTAAACTCCCTAAACTCCCTAAACTTCCTAAACTTCCTAAACTTCCTAAACTTCCTAAGCCCCAAACCCCAAGCCCCAAACCCTAAACCCCAAACTCTAAACCCTGAACCCTAGCGCCCTCAACCCTAAACCCTACAAACTCCCTAGAACCCCCACAGCCAGACTGAGGCCTGGACGCCGCCATCCTGAAGACCGCCCCCAAATACATGGTGGCAGGGACCCCCGGGTCCTGCGATGCTCGTGTGGGGCTTTAAGGTTTAGGGTTTAGGGTTTAGGGTTTAGGGTATGAAAAGTGAGAATGAATATCGTGTGTGGCGATTCTTATGAGGCTTCTTAGGGTCCTTATATGATTATGATGATGTATGACTTATTTATGACTGTGCTTATGAGTATGACTTATTATAGTGAGAAGGAGTGTTGCTTGCAACGGTCATTATGATAATCGTTGATGTTCTAGACTACAAATGGTTGTTAGCGTGATTTTCCAATCGGCTGTTTTTCTGACTATGATGATTAGCTGACTTTTTGGGACGACTGTGATGATCATGGCCGTCGGGTTCAGCTTTCTTAGGGGTGTTGGTCCCCATGCCCCCCCCATTTTGGACCCAAACGGGGTTCCCTTCATTTCCCGGTTACCGGGGGGTGGGGCGCAAAGTAGGGTTTAGGATGGCTATTGGGGGCCAAGGGCGCCTGCGGTTGTTTGCCACGAGGCCTCAAACGTGGTAGAAGTTCGCAACGCCGCAACCGTCGCAATGCTCGTGACATTGGTGTCATTCGCTTTCGTCTGCGGCGCCCTCGCCGGGGACGAGGCTGAGCGCCCTGCGCTTCGAGGCACCAAAGAGACCAAGGAGACCTGGCAAGGCAGGGACAAGGAAGACAAGGACTACAAGGAAGGCTGGCATGATCACGAGATACGCCCCTGGGCTCGCGAGGAGGAGCACCGCCCCACCCGCTGGGTCCCGTCCTGGGGTCCTCCCTTTGAGAATACATGCGCTGATCTATGTGACTCTTGCGAGGTTTGCGTCGGCGGTGTTTGTACGGGCGGCCCTTGTTACAAGTTCGATGAGTGCCATGGTGCTTGCGACTCTTGCCAGACTTGCGTGAATGGCATGTGCACAGGCTTGTCGTGCACAGCACAGTGTGCAGGCTGCAACGTTGGTGTCGTGATGTGTCCAGAAGGGCAGACAGCTATTCCCGGCAGCTGCACTAATGGAATTTGCCTGCAAGGTTCGTGCGTGTAGTAGGTCTGGCCGAGCCTGTGCAGTTTTAACGTGTACAGCTCGCAGGTTCTGCAGAGTCCACTATGTCACTATGCAGCTGCTTCAAGTCTGTAAAGCCAGGAGCGTTTTCTGCATGGTCAGTCGGTCGCCTTCCTATAGAGGGTGCTCATCTGCAGCTCGAGTCTGGCGTCCCATTGTCTCGACAGCTCATGCACAGCCTTGTACAGGGCTGGAAGTGGGGACACTGGGAATGGCAATGCTGATCAAAAGCCATGTCGCTGAAGAAGCACCTTGCAACGGATGAGAGCTGCGGATTGCATCTCTAGCTGTTTGCTAACATGATTCGTGCAAGTAGTCATGTTGCATCTCTTCCTTGGCTATGGTTTTGATGGGTAGACACCGTCAGATTCCCGCAAGCGTGCGTCTGCGCCAGAGGCCGTCGTGATCAAGGATTACATGGGACAGTGGTTGGCGCCGGTGGACCCTAAGGACAAGCAGGCCAGGCCGTCTGTCGTACATGCGTCCTAAAACAGCATGTCAAGCCTGCGGCAATATGTAAACCCTCCTGCGAGGAGTTTTGAATCTAGTGCTCCCAGGAGCAACTGCGCAGCTGCTGGCGGGGTGGTTCCATGTTTGCATGTCCAAGTCTGCAATGCGAGAGAGCAATGCTGCACAACATCAGCTACACGCGTGCACACACACACACACACGTACACGTACACGTACACGTACACGTACACGTACACGTACACGTACACGTACACGTACACGTACACGTACACGTCGTACACGTACACGTCGTACACGTACACGTCGTACACGTACACGTGCACGTACACGTACACGTACACGTACACGTACACGTACTCGGCAAGCATGTGAGCCTCTGGCGACACCGAGCGGCCCCCTCTTCTGCTAAAGGAAAGCAATAGAAAATGCAGAGACACCTGTGAGCCCGACAACCAGACTCCCCAAGCCTCAGCCCTTCTCAGCCCTCCTGTGAGACGGATACCCGATGCTCCCCTTTGTGCCCCAAGAAGGCCACCCTGCTCAAGTCGGCGAAGGTGTCTGTGACCGCAGGCACGGCTTAAGCCCTCCCAGAAGCCCCTAAACCCCAGTACAGCCCCTAAGCCTGCAACCGACTGAGGGACTGAGGGCATTTTTGTTCTTACACAGCTTGAGGGGCATTGACGGGTTACCTGCAGCGGTGGTTGGGTTTCGCTGCATAAGGGCTTTAGGGTTTTCAGGGTTTTCGGGGTTTCAGAGTCCAGCGGAGAGCACGCAAGCAGGTGAGCCCGAAACCTGGTCTTAGTCAAGGCTGCGTAAGGCTGCGTAAGGCTTGTAAGGGTAGCTAAGGGAAGGCGTCATGTGTTAAGCGTTAAAAGTGCGACCACCGCGTGGCGTGGACCCTCGTCTCCCCCTTTCCACAAGCGTCGGAGCCCCGGACGAAAGCCCTGAAGAGCACGTCCGATCCATGCTTGTAGGCATCGCCGGCGCAGTCTTGACCAACCCGCTGGATGTTGTCCGCAATGCCCCTTGGCATGAGAGCTGCCTCTGTCCGGAGACAAGTTCTTGGTCCCTTAATCTGGTCCCGTACCTGGGCTTTTGAGTTTTACAGGTATCTAACGGGTTTATAAGGGTTCCCCAGTTATAGGACCAGTGCGACTACCTGAAGATCTCTAAGCCTTTATCAGCTTTCAGTGACTCTTAGGGGAGCTCCTTAAGATCACGGGCTCCTGAACCCGAAGTCCCACCAAAGCACGGTTGAAACGCCGTATTCCCGAGCCCTTGAGATGCAGAACTCTGAAGCCAACATGGGGGCCTCAGGAGATGTTCAAGACGGAAGACGCCTGGCCTCTCTTGAGAACCTTTTTTTTTCTTCTGTGGCAAACAGCACTGGCTACTTTGTGTGGCCTCCCCTCCCCCCTAGAATATTCGCAGACTGGTGAGGACCACAGAATAATGCCTGGGCATGATGCAATCCCACGCAAGCGTTCGACTTCCTTTCGACCGCCCTGACCATGCCCCAAACCTTGAATAGACTAAACCCTCGTGCGCCCAACAGCTCCCCCCAAACCCTAAACCCCAAACCCTCGACCCCCTGTGGCCCCCCGGATCGCTCCTTCGAGATCCTCAACCCTCCAACCCCTAAACCCGGATGAAACTGTGGCCCCGAATCGCAGCTCAGCAGCTCAGGAGGGGATGGTCAGCTGCATGATGCGCATGAGCAAGGAGGTTTTTCGGGGGGGTTCGGGCTCGGTGTTCAGGGCATTTCAGGGCTCTAGGACTTCATGACTCCGGCTTCGGGTGCACCAGCCGGCAGAGGGTTGAGGCCGTGCAGGTTCTCGGGAGCTTTACCTTGGCATGCGGGACAAAGAGCTCCAGACTGTGGAACAGGGGCACAGAACCCTCTTCGGTTGCCAGAGCTTCTGGGGATCGAAGCCCCAAACCTGACTCATTATTTGTAGCAAACCCCCCAAACCCCCCAAACCCCCCAAACCCCCCAAACCCCCCCCAAACCCCCCCCAAACCCCCCAAACACTCAAACCCCAAACCCCAAACCCCCCCCACCCTCCTTCGGGGAGTTTAGGGGTGCTTCCCAGATGGGGCCCAAGTGGCTTCTGCGCGGCATTGGCAAGACCCAGCCTCAGCTCCGCTTGATTTTGTCGTTGGCTGTTTGGGGGTTTAGGGTCTGGGGTTTAGGTTTCGGAGTTTGGGGGTTTAGGGTTTAGGATTTAGGTTTCGGAGTTGAGGGTTGACAGGCTCTGGGGGTGTATGGGTTTGTAGGGGCTTCAGGCTTGGGAGGGTTTGGGGGCTGAGGGTTGGTTTACGAGGTGTAGGGTGCTTATAGGGTGTTGAGGTTGAGGGGTCATAGGTAAGGGTTTGTTTGGTTTATAGGAAACCCAGAAGACCCTAAAGCCTCAAAGTCTCGAACACTATGATCCCATAGCCCCCCAGATCATCATGAATCGCCCTTCAGACTCGAAGCACTCAAAGACTCAAAGCCGTAAGACCTGACAACCGAAGTTTGTGGGTGCTAAGTTGGAAACAGCAAGTGTGAGTGAAATGAACCACACTACAGGCAAACGGCAACAGCCGAATGTTGCACCCCCCCCCCCCCCAGAAGCCAAGTCATCCCGCCTTCCTGTTGAGTGGTCCATTCGGGCTTGAGCATTTATTACAGCTTGCTTGGGGGTGGAAGTTTAGGCGTTTCCGGGTCTGTAAGCACGCCGGTTCCAGTCTTGGGATGCGTGCGTGCAGCTGCTTGGGATGCAGCGCAGCCAAAATTTAATATCATGACCCAACTTGGCCGGACTCCCTGAACAGCCTTCATTCTGAGAAAAAATCGGGAACAGAAGGGGTTTGGGGTGAGGAAGACCTATCGCCTCCAATCCCTCGAGGAACTGGGTGGCTGTGGCTGCCCCGATTGCCAGCACCATCTTCCTGACTGACCGGTGCGGCCTCCAGCAGAATTCCCCCCCCCCCACCCCCCAAGCCCGCTTATGGAGCCCTGTAAACTGTCGTAAACCCCCCTCTGTGTCCCTACCCCGAAAGGCAGGATGAGAGACCCCAAAGGTGGCTGCCGCCTTCTTGGGTTGAAGTTACCACGCAGCTTCAAACTGAACCCTGAACCCAATCTGTCACAGGGAGCCTCAGGGACCCGAAGCTTTGAAGGTGTTGTTCCGGCGTGGGGGTTGGAGGTGCAGGGCTCCAGGGTTCGTGCAGAATGTCCCAGCCTGAATGCTTTGTGGAAGAGCTCATTTTTGCCTTCTCCCTTCCCCCAACCCTAAACCCCCCTAGCAACCCCTGAACCACCAGAGGCATCTGCCCTGGCCCTGAACAACCCTAAACCCCAAGCTGCCAACTACCCCAAACCCAAATCGTCGGAATTATTCTAAGCCCCCCAATTGTGTGGTCCCCCCGGAAGCACGGGGACCCTACGCCCAAAACCTGTGCAGGTTCAAAGCATGGATCGAAGGCTGAGCCTTTGAGCCTTCGTGCGGGCGCTTTCTCGCCCTAATCCTCTCCAGATTCTCCCTCTAGTTCTCAGAAGCTGTGCTCATACTTCAGGACATGGGTTAGACTAAGAACCACTCGCATTTGAGGTTTTTTTGGGCTTGTTGCAGTTTTCTTCGAGGACAAGAATAACTTTCTGTGTTAGGACGTGTTTTGGGGCTCGCGGGTCCAAGGTGCGTTTAGTCGGCCCGTGGGCTCCCCGATTTTGTGTTCGCTGGGCTGGGGTCTTATCCTGGGCCGCTGTCGGTGACGGCACGCAACACATGCCCAGTTGAGGGTTGGGGGTTTAGGGTTTAGGGTTTAGGGTTGGAGACTTTTTTGGACAAAGCGTTTCTAGAATAAGGTAACCGTCTTAGATGGATTCTCGATTTGTTATTTGGGCAGATGTTGCACGTTTTCCCCGAACTTGCCGTCAGGGCAGTTTCCACAACGAGCAGCTTAGTTGCTCGTTCAATCATCTTGTGCGAAGCACGTTGTCTGGCGCCCTGCTCGTGAGCAGATGCTGTCCAAAATAAATGAAAGCAAGACGTCAGTCCCCAGAGCTCGAAGGTACGGTCCCCCTGAGAAGGAAGAGAAGGAAGGGACTTCAAAAAGGAAACCCACAGCCACCCTTAAAAGTTAAAAGAACACGACTCCCGAGCCCCCTTCAGGGTAGCCCTTAGCAACCTGTAAGACTAGTGTGTCTCACTTGCCCAGGTCCGACTTCACCGACATCTTTGGCTCAAGACGGAAAAGACACAGTCTTGTAGTGAAGCCCCTTTCTGTTCAGGTTGGGTTGAGGTTTCGTCTGTTGCCTCTTCCCTTGGGATCACCTCCCTCCTGTGTTTGGGGCTCACTTAACTGGTTATCAGCCGTAGCTTTAAGCTGCGGTTGTGAGACCGTTTTGGGTGCAGCCTTTGGCGCACCAAGTGTCGTGTCACTTTCCCGGGGTTCATGCAACAACAGCCTCCGCAACCAACTCGCGGTACCCGGGGAGGAGTAAAGACACGAAAGCGCGACTATTA